TTCTGTTGTACAAAATTTAAAGGCCAAATTCGTAAACATTTTTCATAGAATTTCATATTTAACAAAATACAATGTTGACATAAATAACTATACCCTAAAATAGTTAAAAGGATAGCTATTTCAACATTATCATAGTTCAAAATTTTAAAAAGATATATCTAAACCCTATACAGAGGAACTATTTTCCAAGGACCACCACATGGAGACTCTGCATCAATTCCCATGGAAAACAGTGATAGAGGTTTTGATTTTAGCGGTAGTGGTTCTATGGGAGGACAAGCTTGTACATATATGCTGAGGCTAGGAGCAGGAGAGCCTCCGCTGCTAGGAGAAGGAGAGCTTCCACCGACGGAATCTGATGTGGAGGAGTAGTCTTCTCTTCCACTTTCAATGTCATTTCCACGGTTTTCTCCTCCGTAGCTGACCTTAACAACATTTTGCATAGACTCCAAACAAAGGCAGAGATAGAAGTAAGCAAAAATTGCACAAATTAAAAAAAAAAAATAATAAGGATCCAAATACTAATGACTAAGATGGAAGCTATTGACCTTGGGTGAAGCTGCTGACCCACCGGAGTTGGAAGAAATGATCGGAGCTGCGCTACTGCTATTGTTGGAGAAGAAAGCCAAAGAAATGACCTGCTGAGTATGCGGTTTATTCTTCAAAAAAAAAAATAAAACTAAAACCAGAGCACGCTACAGCCTACTGCTACTGCTGTAGAAGAAAGTCAAAAAATTAGCTGAGTATGGGGCTTAAAAAGAAAATATTTGAGTTCGTAGCGTGCATGCCGAAGCTCCGATGCTATGATGAAGATACCGAAACTGGAAGAAATTACCGGAGCGTGTTACTGCCTACTGCTACTGCGAGAAGATGAAAGCCAAAAAATTAGCTGAGTATAGGTTTAAAAAGAAAATATTTGAGTTGATAATGTGCATACCCTAGTTCTGAAGCTATGATGAAAATTTCGAAGGCTATGCTTATAACCTTTTTAGAAAGTAAGAAAAGACATGTCTTTTAACAAGTAAGAAAAGATAGATCAAATATCTTATATATACTTTTTTTTAGTACTATTGACTCTGTTACAACTGAAGTACAAAGAGTCAATATCGCCTTCACTGAAGCACGAACCACAACCTCAATATTGGAGAGCAACTTAGTGCTACTAGACCACAAAGTCCTTGGCTTATCTATACTTTTATACCACTAATAAAAATAAAATATTATTTTAGCAACTTCCTGCTCAAACTACCTCCGAAGATATTATTATATAAAATCTAATACGGAGTAATTATTATGATAATTAAGCTATTGTGTCGTTGAATTTTTGTATAATTATTACAATTAATTTTTTGATAATATAATATATATATATATATATATATATATATATATATATATATATATATATATAACGTATAATAGTATAAGAGTTAACTCCAGCAATGGTCCTCCAACTATATTGTTTTTTCAAAATTAGTCCCCGACTTTTAATTTGAACACTTTACGTCCCTTGACTGTTAAATTTCTTTTCAATTGAGGTCCTTTCGTCATACTACGGTAAAGTGGACTTTAAATGAAAGTGTAAAGTAGTCATTTCATCTGCCTAATGTATAATTCTTTGTATTTCTTCCTTGTATACGCGACTTTGGACATCAAATTCACTTAATTGCTTAATCTCTAATGGAATTTTGTTCTTCGAGTGGATTTAAGGATTAAGCAATTAAGTGAATCTGATGTCCGAAGTCGCGCATACAAGGGATAAATACAAAGAATTATACATTAGGCAGATGAAATGACTACTTTACCCTTTTCTTTAAAATCCAATTTACCGTAATTTGACGAAAGGACCTCAATTTGAAAGAAATTGAAAGTCAGGGACGTAAAGTGACCAAATTAAAAGTCGATGACGAATTTTGGAACATCAATATAGTCGAAGGACCATTGTTGGAATTAACTCAATAGTATAATTGCACAACATTCTTATATTGGGAAAATGACACTTTTTCCCCCTATGTTATATACTTATAGCATTTATTCCCCCTGAATTATTCATGTAAACACATTAGCTCCCTCAATTATTCTAAAAGTGGCGGCTTTCCCCCCTGATATATTAAAGTGATATTTCTACCCTTAAAGTAAATATTTTATTTATTTTTCTTCTCAAACAAATTATTGCGTATACGTAGGGATGACCACTGTTCGGTTCTAACTGAATCAAACAGTATAGCAATCGAATTAAAAATTCAGTTATGATTCAGATCTAGAACCCAATATTTGAAATAAAGTTTATTAAAATTATGAATCGAAAAAACTGGATCCTGAACAGTGAATCAGCGGTTCTGGATCCAGTTCGCGATTTTGAACCGTCTTTATTTTAATTTTTTTATTTTAAAATAGTCTAAACTCAACAAAAAATGTATTTTATTTTTTTCAGTTCGGAACATGAATCGGCCGTTCTGGTTCGCAATTTTAATAAACTCTAAATATCAGGTTTCGATTCTAAATTGTAATTTAAATATTTCGGTTTGGTTGCTATAGTGTTTGTTTGGTTTGAAGGAAATTGTGGTCATAATTTGTTGGAGGAGAAAAATAAATGAAATATTTATTTTAAGGGTAAATATGTCCATTTAACATTTCAGGGAAAAAAATAGCCACTTGAATAATTCAGGGAGAAAAATAACGACTTGAATAATTCAGAGAGAAAAAGTGCTATAAGTATATAACTCGGGGAGAAAATGTGCTATTTTCCTTCTTATATTTAACAAAAAAATCAATGTCTTAACCCAGAATTTAATATGTGTGGATTCTCCTATAAAGTTTTCCCAGACATTATTATAATATTAGGTCAACCTTATAATAATTAAGGTAATCTGTTATGTGGTGCAACTCTTCCAGACATACTTTTAATAATTAAGGTAATGCTTGATTATAAAGATAAGGAGTATGATTAGGAAGGGATTCAGTTACCATATTGATAGCATATGGTTATTATATAAAGAGCCCTCTAGTCCTCTCACTGCTTAACATTCATTCCTCATACACCATTCAGAGAGGGTTGAGAAAGTGAGAGAAACATATACTGTTACTCTGCTACAGCAGTCCCGTGACAACGCAACCTTCATCAATCGGAAGCTATGGCTGGAGGTTAGTACTTATTACTTTAACACGATCCTGTGTATCACGTATTTATGTTCCTACGTGAATTATATGCTTACAGTTGGTATCAAGAGCCTGATTTACCTCTGCCTAGCCTTAAGTATATTGATTGCATATGTTGAATATTTTTTTTGACATGAATAATTATATGCAATTGTTTGCTCACTGAAATTTTTTTCCGCATTAAGTATGTTTTATTTTATGTTTAAATGAATTGGATAAAGGGTATTTTTTATGCATTTTTTTAATGCGTAATATCTATATACTCTTACGTAAGTACTGCCTGGAGTTATACTGGCTATCGTGGAAGATGACGGAAGATTAAAATAAAAGAAAAAAAATGAGCCTGTTTGGTTCGGGCTTGCTTAAGTATTATTCTTCATCATATTTAGACTTCTTCTAATTAAAATATCCAATTGATTTTGTCTAAAGTCAATATTAAATTATTATTCAATTTTTTTTGAACAAATTATTAAGTGTTGAATTTGTTTGAATATCAATTTAATATTGAATTTTCAGTTTTAAATTGTATTAAGTGTTACAATTTATTTATGGAGTATGAATAATTGATATGCAGAATATAATCATGCATTATATGTTTATTGCCATAATTATTTTTTACTGTTATAATTATGTCTTTAGATATGCATGCTCTTTTAAGGATAAATTTAGAGCCATTTAGGTATGATTTAAATGCCTTTTATGCATGATTTAGTGTCTTAGGTGAATTTAGTGCCTTATAAGGATAGATCGCGCATATCAATATTATCCTTCATTTATTACTCCATTCGTGCTTTCTTAAAGTTCTTAAAGCACATAAAGTACATAAAAATTCATAGTTACCCTATTTAAAGCCTTATAATAGGTGTATCCAATCTTATAGATCTTCCAAACGATTTTACTTCAAATATGAAAATGCATGACTTAGGGAAGTTTCTTGGGGAGGAATACTAGTTCTATGGCCCTGGCTTAAAAGCCTTGTTGCTACTATTCCCCTTGCGACGCTACTCTGTCTAAGGAGTTGGTATTTAACCGAGTCTCATCTCGACCAACTTTCCTGGGAGTATACCTAATGATTGTTTATCATGTGTTGGTTTAATCTGTAGCCACAACATCTTTAATTGCATAAATTGTCTTCAATTTAAATCACATTAAGAATAGGCAATAATACCTTTGTAATTCATTTTGCGTAATATTACAAAATTTAGCCCACAGACAATTTTGTTATATTTGTAGGATGAATTAGGGTTAAATACTAAATTATGATCATAATTTTCCCACATGGATTATGAATCGGCATATAGTTTGGTATTTTTATCATTAAGGGTGGAAAAAACAAACAAAAATCGTACCCATTATGTTTCCACTATTCAGCCTTGATAGATTTATTATGCGTAAAAATTTAGCCCACAGGCAATTTTTATGGCATTCGAATTTATCTTTTGCATAAATTTACATTGGTAATAATATGCACTTCAGTCTTTCTCTATCTTTGAGCCTCAAAAATTCTAACCAAGCGTTCGGTATTCCTTTCAGAACCTCAATCCCAACTTAAAACACAATAATGACTGATGTTCCTATGCTAAGTGATGATAATCACCAAAAGTGGAAAGATGCTATTCTCCTACACTTAGGGTTGTTAGAGATGGATTTCGCTATTCACAATAAAGAGCCTCCTCCTATCACTAACGATAGCTCTGAGGCTGACAAGAAATTTCACGCACAATGGACTAGATCCAATCGGTTGTGTGTGTATTTCATTAAGACACGAATCCCAAGAAGCATTCGTGGGTCAATTAACCATTGTGATAAAGTCGAAACCTTGTTTCAAAGCTATTGATGACCAATTTGCTACATCCAATAAAGCTTTGGCAAGTACTCTAATCATGAAGTTTGTTGGTCTTCGTCTTTCCACTATAAAGGGCACACGCAAACGCATCATGCAAGTAAGGGATATTGCGGCTCAACTAAAGAAGTTGGAAATAATTTTGCCAGATACCTTTGTTGTGCATTTTGCACTTAACACCCTCCCTCAACATTATAGCCCTTTTAAGATTTCCTATAACACACATAAGGACAAATGGTCTATCAATGACTTGATAACCATGTGTGCACAAGAGGAAGAGAGGCTTATTGAAGAGGTTGGGGAGAGTGCTATGTTGGTCACAATAAAGCCTAAAGAAAAATCTGGGAAAACCAAGGGATTCACTGCAGCAGCAAAGGGGAAATTGACCTCAAAAGCTGATATTAAGAAGGTACAAAAGTGTTTCTTCTGCAAGAAGAAAGGACACCTGAAGAAAGATTGTACCAAATTCAAGAAGTGGATGTCTGATAAGGGTAATATTTCCCCCTTCTTTATATATTATTAATCTAATATGTCAGATGTTAATACTAATTCTTGATGGATTGATTTTGGTTCACCAATCCACATTACAAATTCTTTGTAGAATATGCAAAATCTGAGGCAGCCGAAAGGGAACTGAGTGAAGCATCTTCTCTGGAAACAAGATTGCATCACCAGTTGAAGCTGTTGGAATTTGCGAATTAGTTTTTTGAATAATGTTTTGTTTTGACATTAGATGAGACCTTTTATGTTCCTAGTTTTCGAGGAATTTAATTTCAGTTTCAAGACTTGTACCTTTTGGATTTACATTCGAATTTAATTGCAAGTATTTCAAATTATTCAATAATTCTACTTGTGTTTGTGATGGTACATTTTCTGATGGTCTTTATCGTCTTAACTTAAAGAATGATTTAAATCATAATTCTTTACATGTTCAAAACGGCACCAAACGGTGTAGTATTAACGAAAATTCATTCACAGATATTTTGTAACACCCCGTGTTACGGCCTCTAACCCAAACTAATTATTTAATTACTTACCCTTAAAAGAGAATCGAATCCCCTTAATTAATTAAGAAGGGTCCACCATGGACCATGGACCCTTATCCCTAAACCAAACCCTTAGTCCTATAAGGAATAAAATAAGTAAATCCCTACCATTCAGACCCCAGTTATGACTCTTAGATATATAAATATATAAGGGCATAGGAGGCACCTAGAATTCACACCACACAAGAATTCCCAAGAATTCCCCTATCTCCAAATGTAGGAGAAATCAAGAAGAGAAGATATTAGAGAAAGAACCTTAGTAGCTAAGGATTCTAATTAAGGCTAAGAGGTAACCCATGTCTCAACAAAACCTATTTTCCTTGCTATAAACTTCTTCTTTGGATCCTTTGATATGCAATTCCATGCTTGTGTCTTGATAAGACTTTTATGATGATTATGAGATAATCATGATGATTATGAGATAATCTTGATGATTGATGAGATAATCTTGATAATTATGTGATCTTGATAATCTTGATGTTTATGAGGTGATCTTGATATTTATGTGTTGATCTTGATAATCTTGATGTTCTTGATTTTAATCTGACTAGAGCCCTAGGGTTAAATCGTGGATTTCGTATTGTGATATTCTTGGTATGTTTAGGCGGGATTTTGCATGTTCGGGTATTGAGTCTTGATTATGTTTAGAAGTCGTGTTAGGATGTATTTAATGTGATTCTTGATTTTAATCCATTACTTGATTACGTGGTGTCGTCGTTTATGTTTAAATGTGTCTGGACATGATTTCGGGTTCCACGAAAGATCCCGGGACCGAATTATTACACAAGAGTCAGTGGGGGATAGGTGGGGGCAGGGGTACCCACCACCTACCTGCTGCCCCAATAGGCCGCCCAGCAGCGAGCAGTCGGCGGGCAAGCGACTGCCCGCCAGACACCTGCTGCCTTGTGTTGCGCCGCCGGCGGGTGGTCCTCCACCCGCCGACCACCCGCTGGAAATTCCAAAGTGGAATATGGTGGTTTTCCTCGTTTGATGTTTCCCCGTGTTCCGTGGTCTCCCATTGGACCTCGTTTGTCATGCCGGAGTCTAGTTTGATGTTTCGGGTACCATTCGTAGGATAAAAGAGTCTTGCGTATTGCATGCTAGTCGAATTGGTATCCCGTTGGCCTAGGTGAAAGATGTATGAACCCCTTAGGCATATCTCTAGTAATGTGGTTGACCACGCATAAGTTTTATATATATGTTTTCCCCCTCCCTATGTGTTAATGTGGGTTGCATGTGCTTGGCTATGTGTTATGTGTGCATGATACCCCAATTGGTTGCGATCAATTGGCTATACAGGCAGTTGGATGGGTTGAGAACCATCGGCTGTTAACCAGGCCAGTTGCGATCGGTTAGGTATATAAATATATAAATATATATATATATATATATATATATATATATATATATATATATATATATATATATATATATATATATATATAGGGCTGCGGTCCATAATCTGGTTGCGATCAGATATACACATACTATTCGGGCTGCGGTCCACCGTTTGGTTGCGATCAAACGTTACTATATGAGCTGCGGTTCATCGATTGGTTGCGATCAATCCCCTTGTGCTGCGGTACAAGGCAGGGTGCTTCGGGGCCGTGTCAGAGCTATATGCGCTGACCCTCATGTATGGGCATGCGATTGGTCCTGCGGCACCACCAAAGTGTGTTTACGTGTTGAGATATTGATTGAATACTGATATAGTTAACGTGAAATTATCTGGTGACCTTAGGGTATATGCTAGTATCTTGATATGCGTGATTATATCTACTGAATGTGCCTACCCTTACTTGTTGAGTTTAATCTCGGTTTTAAAGTAGAGTTTCATAAGTATATATCTCTTCCGATTTCAAAATGGCTTTCTGTATATATATATATATATATATATATATATATATATATATATATATATATATATATATATATATATATATATATATGTATATATATGTATATATATATAATTAGGTTCTGGTGCGGTTAGGTTGCTCAGGTGCGGTTGTGCGGTTTAATCTGGGCCATTCATCTCGCTTAAATTAACGTCCAGGATTACCAAAATTTTAAAAAAAACGCGGTGAAAATTTTTTAATTTTTGTATTTAGGTCAACATTAATGTGAGCGGTTCTGTGATTAATGTGCGTGAGCTTTGTATATAATATGCGTGAGTCTTGTGCATAAGGTGCGTGAGTTTGTGCTTAATGTGCGTGGGGTTGTGCTTAATGTGAGTAGTTAGTAAAACTTAAAGTGTGGGCTTTTGTGTTTAAGGTGCGTGAGATTTGTTCTTAATGTGAGTGGAGTTTGTGCTTAATTTGCGAAGGATTTGTGCTTAATGTGTGTGAGGGTAGTGATTAATATCAGTAATTGTTGAAACTTAAAGTCTGTGAGTTAATACTTAAAGTGTGTGGGTTTTGTGCTTAATGTGCGTGAGATTGTGCTTAATGTGTGTTGGATGAAGAAGCATGCATCACGTCTAAATGACCAAAAGCGTCTACCAAAACCAAAAGCGTCTACCAAAATCAAAAGCGTCTACCAAAACCAAAAGCGTCTACCAAAAACACGTCTTCTTGTCCAACAAAGTGCGTGGGTTTTGTACTTAATGTGCGTGAGTTTGTGCTTAAGATTTAACACTTAAGGTGCGTGGCCTTTCTTCCAAACACTGCGTTTTTTTTTTAATTTCCATTGATTTGAGCCGTTGATTTAGATTTGATCAATGGCTCAGATCTAACCGCACAACCGCACGGAAAGCTATATCCGCACATGAACCCATATATATATATATATATATATATATATATATATATATATATATATATATATATATATATATATATCTACCTATATTGTATTTTAACGCGTTAGAGTGGGTTACCAGCATTATTCGCTGAACAGATATATTTGGCTTTCAGGCACAGATGAGTAGCTCCGCAGCGCGCTAGAGGACCCGAGACTTAATTAGTTTAGTTCCTTACCGGCCTGCGTGCCATGATGATGTACCTGGCATTAACTTGAGGATTTCTGATGTTTAGATAGTTAGCCTGTGCATCTGAGTTCTCCAGCTCAGATGTGGCATAGCACCCCAAACATTTATGTTTAGTTATGCTCTGTTTCGGGATTTAATGATAGTATTGCCTTTATTTCATAAGTATTCAAAGTTTTAAATTTTAGGGCTGTTACATATTTCATCACCATCATTAATGATTTCTCAAGATTACCTATGTGTATTTTTCTTCATAATAAGCATGAAACATTGGATGCCTTTAAATTATTTAAGGCTGAACTTTAAATCCAATGTAATAAGAAAATACAAATAGTTAGATCTGATATGGGTGGTGAATACTATGGTAGATACACTGAAAATGGACAAACACCAGGTCCCTTTGTAAAGTTTCTTCAAGAGCATGGGATTGTTTCCCAATACACCATGCCTGGGTCTTCGAACTAAAACGGTGTTGCTGGATGAAGGAACTGCACCCTTTGAATATGGTGTGGAGTATGCAAAGTAAATCTTGCCTTCCAAAATCGTTGTGGGTGAAACACTTAAGACGATAACGTATATATTAAACCGTGTTCCAACCAAGGTTGTCCTTAAGATACCATTTGAGTTATTCAAAGGTTGGAAACCGAGTTTGCAACATATGGGTATTTAGTGATGTCCGTCTGAGGGGAGGATATGTCACCCGCCCAAAAAGAAGCTTGACCCAAGGACTATTAGTGCTTTCTTTATTGGATATGCACACTCTTCTAAGGGTTATAGGTTTTATTGTCCATCTCATACTACTAGGATAGTGGAATCAAGGAATGCCAAATTTCTTGAAGATGACTTCACTAGTGGGAGAGATTGATTAAAGGACTTAGTTCCTTCATTCGATCATAATGGCTCTCAACCTTCTACGTTATCTAATGGGGTTGTAATTACACGCAATGTTCCTTCGGTCCCACTTGCGATTATACAACCTACTGTTAAGATTCCACAAACTGTTGAGACTCAACCTTTGGAAGAATCACTTCAGGACTTATAACAATTTCCTGAACTAGATTCTAAACCTATGGTTGAACCAATTCAGGGTTTACAAAATTCTGAACCGATACAGATTGAACCAATCCAAGGATTGCCCTCAGTTCTTGAAGAGGTAGTTGCCCCACAACCTTTGCAAGGTGATGGAGGTTCAACATTAAGACGGTCTACTCGGTTGAAAAGATCAACAGTTCCTACTTATTACATTTCGTATCTACAAGAATCTGGCATTGAAGTCGAAAAAAGATCCTAAGACATTTTCTCAAGCCACTAAATGTGCCCAATCTGACTTATGGTATAAAGCCATGAAATAAATTCCATGAAGAACAATGGGGTTCGGGAACTTGTTGAATTGCCTTATGGCCTGTAAATTGGTTTTTAAAACCAAAAGAGATTCACTAGGCAATAGTGATATATACAGGGCCCGACTTGCTGTGAAGGGATTTACTCAAAAGGAAGGAATCGATTACAAGGAAACGTTCTCACTTGTATTAACGAAAGATCACTTCGAGTCATTTTGACATTGGTTGCACATTTTAATCTTTAGTTACAACAAATGGATGTGAAAAGTGTGTTTCTTAATAGTGATCTAGAAGAGAAAGTTTATAGGTTTCTCTTCTAGGGGTGGTGAGAATTTAGTTTGTAAGCTTAAGAATCCATATACAGTCTAAAACAAGCTTCCCATCAATGGTATATCAAGTTCAATGGGATTATTTCTTCATTTGGTTTTGTTGAAAATCCTCTTGACCATTGTATATACCGGAAGGTGAGTGGGAGTAAAATATGCTTTCTTGTTTTATATGTGGATTACATCTTGCTTGCCACCAATGACAATGAGATGTTTCTTATGTGAAACAATTTCTCTTGAAGAGAGTTTTGAGGTATCTAAAAGGAACTAAGAGTCACATGCTTGGGTTTAGGCAGACGGACATCCTAGATATTGTCGGTTATTCTGATACGGACTTCGCTAGCTATGTTGATTCTCGAAGATCAACTTTAGGGTACATCTTTATTATAGCCGGTGGGGCTATCTCATGGAGAAGTGTTAAACAGTCTTTAATAACTACTTCTACCATGTAAGCCGAGTTCGTTTCCTGTTACGAGGCCACTTCACAAGGTGTGTGGCTCAAGAATTTCATCTTTGGGCTTAGAGTTATGGACTCTATATCTAAGCCACTGAAAGTCTATTGTGACAACTCAGTTACAGTCTTCTTGGCTAAGAAAAAAGTGGGAGTCGAATTAAGCACCTCGACATCAAGTTCTTAGCCATTACTACTGAGTTGATGTTAGCAGATCCCTTGACTAAATGCATGCCTTTAGTTAAATTCAAGGATCTTGTTAAGAAAATGAGACTTTCGCCCACTTTGTAATTTGTATATATACATTCAGTATTCAGTTTTGATGAAATTCTCCTGCATTTTGACATTCATCTCATTAAGTGTGTACACCTTTATTTTATTGAGATAATGTACTTCAGTTGGAATTGAAATAAACATAGGGTTTGTTTCATTAAGTTTTTGTTTCCTAAATTAAGTGCTCAATGGCGGTTTACATTTGATCATAATGGATGCTACTCGATTTAAGGAGGACATATCACTATGGTCGGTGTTTTTTCTGTTTTTAGGTTATGGAGTTTGCACCAAGTGGGAGAATGTAAAGTTTTCCTAGATTACATTATTATAATATTAGGTCAACCTTATAATAATTAAGGTAATCTGTTATGTGGTGCAACTCTTCCATACATACTTCTAATAATTAAGGTAATGCTTGATTATAACGATAAGGAGTATGATTAGGAAGGGATTCAGTTACCATATTGATGGCATATGGTTATTATATAAAGAGCCCTCTAGTCCTCTCATTGCTTAACATTCATTCCTCATACACCATCCAGAGAGGGTTGAGAAAGTGAGAGAAACATATACTGTTACTCTGCCGCAGCAGTCCCGTGACAACGCAACCTTCATCAATCGAAAGCTATGGCTGGAGGTTAGTACTTAGTACTTTAACATGATCCAGTGTATCACGTATTTATGTTCCTACGCGAATTATATGCTTACATCTCCTTCATTCCAAATTCCCTTATTATCACTAGCTTTCCAACTGCCAGCATCACTGCCTCATCCATTCTTCCAACTGCCAAACTTACTATCTGATCCCCAGAGTCATTTCTAATTATTCCATCAACCAAAATTCCTATCACCACCGCTCCCACCCTTACCTTCCACTGCCACTAGATGTTTGGGCAGTGGTAAGTGAATTTAATTTATTTAAAAATATGGAAAAATAGCAGTCTTCAATTTGTTTTGACATATATGCACATAAAAAACACTTTGATCACAGTTTTCAACACTTCAAAATTCTTTGTACCTACACAATCAAGCAGCCCAGGGCCTCCCTACTATTTTTTCACCATCACCATCTTGGCTTCATGATCACTAATAATCTCAGAGTATTACAGATCTCAATTTCCACCACCACCCGATGGAGATCACCAGTAGCAAGTTTAGGGATGTCCTATAATACCTTTCTCTTAATTTATTCTTCTACATTGGGACAATGTAGTTCTTAAAGTGTGGCAGGAAGGGTTAAATTGATTTTACCTTATGTTTTTCTTATCTTTACTTTTGTTTTACTATTTAGCTTTGACAAATTTTTAACTGGAATCACCATTTGATTTCTATTCTAATTCTGATTCTCATATTGGAACTAGAAAGTTGATTGCAAAACAACTTAGCAACTAAGCTAGTAGAAGCATCAAAAGCAAAACATATATGGCTACGAATATAGTTAGCTTAGCTTGCTCGTGGAAACTTTCGTCCAACCTGAAGGCTAGCGCTTTCTTCATCATCAGATCAGATACCTTTGTCCACCACATTCAAAGCTTTCTTCAGTGCCTTCACAGTTTGAATTGTGAACATTCAGTATGTAAATTGTGAACGGAGATATTATATAAATTGTGTATTTTTATTCAAGGTGGACCCGAGTCCATGGCATATATAATTGTCGTTATTTTATTCAAAAGTCAACATTAAATAGTTTTTCAAGATAATATTTAATCTTTTTTTTTCAATTATTTACTATGCATTTGAATTCATTATCTGAAACTTTTGATGACAACAACTCGGACTTGACTTTACCAATTGGTTTCAAAATCCAATACTTATTTTTTATAAGAAAATATGGTTTAAATATAATAAGTTACTAAATTATATAATAAAATGTAATTGAGCTACCAAATTAAAAGCAAATTGAGAAACATATACCTTAGCTTTTGAATTGGTTACAGAAGTAAAATTCATCACAAGATACCAAGGATTGAGTCTAACCAGCGACAGTGTGAAAGCAAACTCTCAAAGTGAAGGGCACCTTGTGTGTTGGAGGATAAAAATGTAATATCCTCCCTCTTCCTTTTTATTTCTATTATTCTTTCCCTTATATAAACCAAACCAGTGTATATGCGTGAATCTGATCTCTCTTCATTAATAATATCATCTTTCTTCTTCATCTTCTCTGCACCTCTCGTTTCTCTCTGCTTCTTTCGTTCTCCATTGATGTAGCCACTATTCCAACATGGTATCAAAGCGGCGAGGCAGCCACGCCGCCGCTGTCACCGTCGCCGGAAAATCGAGTCAAAGCACGGCTTATCCGGTGATGTCGATTGTTAAATCCCTAATTCCGCAGAGGAAGCCAATCAATCTGATTACTACGCAGAGTAGTCGATCAATTCTGCAAAGGAATCCAGAAGATAAGGGAACCTCCACAGTCGTTCCGCAGTGGAATGAAGGAGCACGTCCGTCAATCAATCCGCAGAGAATTCCGAGTTTGGAGCAGGAGACGTTCGTAGCCGATCCGCAGCGGAAGGACAGACTTCTCAGTCAGACACAGATGGAAGAATTTACAGATTCAGCCACAACGGTTGTACTTCTTCATCTGAAGTACGTTCAGAGAGCCATGGCTTTGAAGTACGTGGACTCAATTGAGCGAGAGTTTCTGGATCAAACACCGTCATCTACGCTCCGCAGAGTGCCGGAGAAGCGGATCCCGTTGATTGGGGATTGGCTTGTTGAGATCCAAGTTGTTAGTCAAAATTTAGGCCAGTTAGCCATCAGACAAGTCTCCGCAGCGAGGCAAAGAGAAGAGGAACTTAGAATCAAGCAACGGCAAGCCGAGGAGCAGAGTCGAATCGCATTGATTTCTGATTTTGAGAATATGAAGTTCCTATTGATTTCTGATTTCCAGGTATCATCATTGACGCCCTTTCTCGAATCGCATTAAACGTTTTTTGCACAAATTGCTGGATTTTTTATTGTTGAGGATCGTGTTTTGAGGATTGGTGGTGGTTTGATATCTAAAGTGGTGGTGGAGAATTTATGGGGCATTGCTCTCAGTAGGATGTGTTCTATTTTAGAAGATCAATTTTCTAGGATGCAAA